TGCAATGGCACAAGCTGCTTTTTTGAGGTTGAAGGAAGTTATGGTTAAGGCACATGTTCTTGCACTTCCAAACTTAAAAGAAGAATTTGTTATTGAAACTAATGCTCCAGGTTCTGGTATAGGGGCAGTCTTAATGCAAAAGGGTCATCCTATTACATTTCTCAATAAGGCTTTGGCTCCCGCCCACTAAGGCTTATCTACATATGAAAAAGAGCTAATGGCTGTGGTAATGGCTATTGACAAGTGGAGACAATACTTGATTGTGAGGCATTTCACCATACGAACTGATCATCAAAGCTTAAAATACCTTCTGGAACAACGAGTCACTACACCAATGTAGCAAAAATGGCTAACTAAATTGTTGGGATATGATTATGATATCATATACAAGAAGGGTAAGGAGAATACTATGGCAGATGCTTTATCCAGAGTGCCAAGTACTCAGATTACTTCTTTGGCCATTTCTACTGTTGACACTTCCTTATTTTCTGAGATACAACAGTCTTGGCAAGCTGATGAGGTATTACAGTCTTTAATCGTGCAACTCCAAGCAAATCCATGTAGCAAGCCTAAGTACTCATATGCTAATCAACATTTAAGAAGAAAAGGAAAGCTGGTTGTTGGGTTGGACCCTATGTTGCGACAGAAAATCTTACGCTTGTTTCATGCTGAGGCAATAGGAGGTCATTCGAGCATGTAGTGCACCACTAACAGAATTGCTAGCCTTTTCTATTGGAAAGGTATAAAGAAGGATATAAGGAATTTTATCAGACAATGTGACACATGTCAACTTAATAAGTATGATAATAAGAGTCCGGGGGGTTTGTTGTAGCCATTGCCTATTTTAGATAAAGTGTGGGAAGATATTTCCATGGATTTTATTGAAGGCCTTCCTCCATCCCAGGGAAGGACAATTATTATGGTTGTGTTTGATCGATTAAGCAAGTATGCTCATTTTGTTGCACTAGCACACCCTTATACAGCTTCTAAGGTGGTTGAATTATTTGTTCAGAACATCAAAAGGTTACATCGCATGCTGAAAAGTGTTATTAGTGACCAGGACACTGCATTCACTAGTGTGTTTTGGAGAGAATTATTTCGCCTTTGCCAAATTACTTTGAGGATGTCATCTGCTTATCACCTTCAAACAAATGGCCAGACTGAGGTAGTCAATCATTGCTTGGAGACTTATCTTCGATCTATGTGTGGAATAAGGCCTAAGGAGTGGGTTCAGTGGCTACCATTGGCTGAGCGGTGGTATAACACCAATTTCCACACTACTTTCAAGGCAACACCATTTGAGGTATTATATGGCCAGGCACCTCCTTTTCACATTCCACATATCCCAGGTGACTCAAGAATAGCTGGAGTGGACAGGAGTCTTCAAGCTCGAGAGGCAGTTCTAACTCTAGCTAAACAACAACTACTTAGAGCTCAAAATCAGATGAAGCAATTGGCAAATAAACACCATACTGAAAAGGAATTTCAACCTAGGGATTAGGCATACTTAAAGCTTCAGCCATGCCAACAGTTGTCTCTTCTACAACAAAAACAACACAAGTTGTCCCCTCGGTATTGTGGGCCTTTTTTAGTCCTAGCTTGTGTGGGACCTGTCGCTTATAAGCTCTAATTGCTTGATGGTGTTAGGGTGCATAATGTGTTTCATGTCTCTTTACTCAAAAAGAAAGTGGGTGAGGCTACAATAGTTATTCCTCTTCCCTCTTTGTTACTAGATGCTCTACCAGTATATGAACCAGAGGTTGTTCTTGATCGAACCATTAAGGCTGATAACAACAAGCCTCAGACCATGTGGTTAATCAAGTGGAAGGGTCGTGGTATTGAAGAGGCTTCCTGGGAATCTGTTGATGATATTCAGCTACGTTTTCCTTCCTTCCACCCTTGAAGACAAGGGCTGTTTAAGGGAGGGGATTGTTACAGGACTAGAAATAAGACAAGTGAAGTGGCAAGGGAGTGCTTAGGTGGACGACAGTGATGAATGTATGTAGATGAGGATGTTATGTACAAAGAACAGCTATAAAAGCTCTTTCTTATAACAGAATTAGTTATCGAAAGTCAATACAGTTTTCCTATCTTCAGTTTCTCTCATCTCTTCTCATCCCTTCTAAAACTCTGTTTCCCATCTCACCTCTCTTCTTGATTCTTTTCTCATCTCTATCTCTTGATTCTTTGTGGATTGTTGATTGGGTTATATCATATCATGCCCCGAACAAGGCAATTGGCAAACGCAAAAAAAAAAAAAAAGCACAACATGAGAAGAGGGATGTTTTTTTATAAACAATTAAAAAAACAAAAAAAAAAAAAAAAAAAAGGGCAAAACAAGGAAGAAACCTGGGTCCGCATTTTTTCAGTTGTATATATATATAATTTTAATTTGTGCAATAAATAAATTTTTTGTTAATTAATAAACAAAATAATTCAATGTAACACATTGGTTAAATTTTACTTTGAAAAATTCCGATTACGAATCCGCCAATTATTTCCTCATTTCTTTAGAAGTTGGAGGTAATAAGATCGAGTCGTTCCATTAGTTTCTCTTTTCAACATGATCAAATTATCTCACAAATTCTATCCCAACATTTATTTACAAGCACAGTACTGCGCATCGTATAATGCCAGCTTTAAAAAACTCAGCTGGACATTTCATGTAATAATCAACTAATTTACAACAGCATTTTCATCTTTCCTTATCTTTTTTATCATTCCGAGTGGCACCAGGAACTAACGGCATCTGACCATCTTTTGGAGTTGTTACTTCATCAACCGGAAGGGTGGGTTTCGAACCCTTCAGAGCAACACCAAGAACAATGTTATCTTCCAAGGAAGGCTTGATAACCGGTGGTGACGCAGGAGACTTCTCAACATCTTGCTTTGCCTGTGGAACTGCCGACTGGTTTTCAGATTTTTCATTGCTAGACTGTGTTTTAGTAACTGGAGAGTCATCGGATATTGCTCCTACTCCTGAGGTTATCTCTTCCTTGCTCCGTTTTGATTGCTCCTTGGAGTTATTTTGGATAGAGTTCTCAAGCACCAGAACGTTACTAGTTGGGGGGTCAGATGGTGAAACATCAGAGCTTGAGCTAGAGTTGGGGATCGACAATGCCGTGACCGTATCTTCTTTCAAAACAACAGATCCAGATTCAGTCTTGGCCTTCAAGTCAGATGTTGACACTGCTTCAACCTGGGAATCTTTTTCTTCATTTGTTTGTGCTGAACGAGTTGAGGCTTTGACTTTGTCATCACCATGGATCTTATACGCAGGTTCAATGAGGAGAAGTGGACGGTTAGATGCTCTGGCACGTGTAAAAATGGTTTCAGCAATTGGTACCTCTTCAAAATCAGCCTCACTGTATATCTTCTGCACTCTGCGGATGGGGGTGGCAAGCCTGGCCCGGTGGTGATTGATAACTCTTAGAAGATCCAAGAGTATTACTTCCTGTTGCAGAGCTATCATCAGGCACTGACAGAATATAGGTATCTCTACCACTATATATGTGAGTGTACATCTACACACATGCTTACTAGCGTATTTATTCATGTAAGAAAGACACTTTAAAACACCACTCGATAATGTTGCCTTGCATTAACAGCATATATTTTCATTAAGCACAGAGTAACAGTTAGATCTTCACCTTAACACGGAGGTACTCTTCAAAATGTGAAGTTTTTACAAAGCAAGATACCAAAATCTGAAACAAAAAGGACAACTGGATGAATAATGCAACTACCAAAGAAGGACAACCAGAAAGTAAATTTTGCATTGTGGTGATACAACATTAACATAGGCAAACCAATTAATGGGCTATGAAGAGCTATTGAAAGACCAAATTAAAAAAAAAATCCCTGGAAAAGCTCTCATTATACTATAATAGTAATGATAAGACTAACAATTAATTAATACTCAAATTTAGAAAGAAAAAAAGAACAAAAAAAAGCCAATAACAAAAAGAAAGAACAGCCTCACCATAAGAGCCTGGTTTTCTGGATCAATGTTTTCCAGAAAAACTCTTCTGTGTAACTTTTGTTGCTCTACTTGAGGATTTTTGGCCAAAACCTTGCGCATATCTGCAACAATGTTCTGAAGAAAAAAAATGATGATGTATATTATGTGAGATTGGGGAAAGTTATAATAATAATAATAATATAAAGAAATCCTTTGTTGACAAATTAAGAAGAGTGCCTCTTACATTGATTTTATTTACATCCAAGTGACTAATTGCAAGGTGTGTCTTGATGCGCCAGTGAGTCTTCTGGCTAAGATTCCTCACAACATTTACTGTGAACTTGTGGTTTGGGATGTGAACTGCCTCTCTGTCATCACCTCTTATAATTGTTGGTGACCACCAACCCACATGCTGAAACAACATAATTTGTCAATCCAAATATAGCAATAAACTTGAAGCTAACTTCTTTTCTTATTTTCTTTTAAAAAGAAACTAAACTGTTAATCCCACAAATCTATGGGGAGGCAAATAAAGCATATTATATATTCTTTTCACATTCACTCAGAAATCAAATTTACCAGGGTACTTGTAAAGGTGAATAAACACAAACCTCAACTGTACCAGAGACTTCGTAGCCCTCAATCTTTGTTTGAATCCATTCATTCACAACAAATGGCCTTGTGACATGAACCATTACACTTGAGAGAAAATTTGTAAATATCTGAACGCATCAAACATATGAATAAGTCATGAGAAAAGGTCAGAGAAAACCTTTGCTCTTAAAGAATTTGATGTAACACATATATAAGTGAGATTAACTACATGCTATGGAGAAGAATAACACAACTGTAAACCAATAATATCATGTCAGAAAACATGTAATGCATGGCTGTTTTTAAAATGGCTAAGCATTGAAGAGAAAGATCATGGCTCTTTGAACACGAGAAGTATTAGAATGGTGAGTTTAAGGTAGTTATGAAAGTTTAAGGATAACATATAGCACTTATTCCTTTAATATCTTCTTGTGCTGTAATCTATGGTTCTTATTTGTTAGAATGACTGGATAGGTTTTACAAGAAAATGATATGGATATACTGGGAAACCTTGTTTCTTTCACATACTACTAGAGACAAAAATAATAGCACTTTACCTCACGACCAGAAAGTGTGATCAATACTGTGCCCAGTCCTCCAGCAGTTAGCCACTTTTGGGTTGAAAACCCAAGCAACTCCATGAACAATGACACAGCAGCTATCCATACTAAAGTATAAACAGCTTTTCCAGCAAAATCAAAGCCCATCTATCATGCATGAAAACATCTGTGTTGAGATTTGTTGGTTGCATTATACCATATAGCAAAGATATTATTTGCCTAGATCATCAGGAAGCTTCCAACAGAATACCCCAAGAAAGGCATGCTAAATTTTGAAACAACTTCCCATTCCAGGAGACTATTAAGAACTCATCATTGCTCCTATTGCCCTCATGATGGTAAATCTAAGATAAGAAAAACTAATTGCCATGATGAATTTTAAGGCAGAGACCAGAGACTGCCACTGCTGACTTACTACAAATATAACAAGAATTTTACAACTTAAAACAAATGAATGCATTACTGGCAATGAGGTATAGAAAGATTCACCAGTTTGTTAAAATTGACATGGCAAAAACTTATTAATGCATGTCTTCAAGAGATTCAGGAAAGAAACTGCATGGGTCAATAGAAACAGAAACATACATTTCTTGCATCACTGGAGTCGCTCAATTTCATAAAGAAATTTTGTGCCTGTTGAATCAAGCTGCAAGAGAAGATGTGATTATACAGTAAAATTGAAGTTCAAATTTCTAAACTAGACCAGAAAGGCACATTAAATGAGTGGACAACAAGCTGAAATTTAATCAGATGTATAAGATATGATTGATACATTAAAAACTAAGAGGCATAACAGAACTTATTTTTAAAGAGAATGACTCACCCTGACAAGCAATAAGCAAATGCCAGCACTGTCGATAATGATTGTACAAAATTCAAAAGTCGTTGCTTAACAGCCTGGCTTGCTTCCAAGGGTAAAACCAATGGATCTAATGCTCTGAAATAAAATGTTGTAGTTAGCACACTATAGCTGTTGTGAAAACATAAGCATCAAACTCTAATACTAATCAAATAGAAGGTAGAAGTAAACCTGCATATAAGTGTTGCTCCGGTCCACAGCAGCAAGGGTTGTAAATATGAGCTCATAATGTAGTGTGTCCTACTTTTCTTCCAACTGTTATCACTCCTCTGTAGAGAATTTCAAATGAATTAACTAATTATGTTGCCAAATGAAAATGTTAAGAAACACTACCTAAGGAATTAAGCCAGTAAAGAAGGCAAAGGAATGCAGAAAAAAAAGTACATACATGAAAAAAGACAACCCTGAACAGGCGCATGAGTGGCCCAAGACCCCATGCAGCAAAAGCAATAACACCAAATGCTGGAATTAACCGAAGTACAATGGGCCTTTCACATAAAGCACCATACATCCTACAGTTCCAAACGAAAAATAAAAAAAAAAGAAATAAAAAGGGGAAAGAAGTAAAGCCACATTAATAAGAATGAGCAAAACTATTTTTCAGTTGTCACAAACTTCTGAACTGACTGAGAACAGTGAACTTCATTACAAAACAAAGGCAATTCACAATCTCCCTTGAATTCAAACTTCCAAACTTTAAGAATGAACTTACATTAGCCCAACATGCATGAAGAAAGAAAAGTGAAAAAAAAAAAAAAAA